TTATAGTGCCCTCTTTATAAAGGAGACTATTACTGGAAGTGTTATTAATTACCTCCCCGTTAAGAGCTGTGAGTATGCAAAACTGCACAGCTGTAAACAAATATACAGTTGGTCTGAAGCAATCAGGAACAATTTATTTTCTGGGACATCAAATCAAGCTAGTACTATGGATACATTCCTGAGGACAGCAGAACAATAGGGCAGTTTCCTTCATCTGACAAAGAAATTCTAAGATCTCCACTAGACGTGTTTCTCAGCCATCCATTTTAGAAACAGGAAGTGTGTTACAAGAACCACTTTGTTACATTTAAACATGTCGTTTCTCTCTCCTCTATGCCTCCCACCCTAACCCCCATGTCAGATATGTGGATTTTGTGCTTGATACATATCAATCTCCATACATAGAAGAAAAAGCTCACTGGACTGTGAACCTTCTTATAATGTCTATAAGGTATCTGATGTGTAGGATTGTTAAGCTAGCCTCAGATTTTCATTTGGCCTATTTAACCATTGATGCAACCTGGCAGCTTAATGTGTCAACTGGTTTCATAGTAAAGTCTTGTATTAGTTGATTTCCGGTGATGGGGCAAATTCTCTCTGCAGTACTTTCAGTGATTGTGCAGATGAGAAATCTATCCATCATGTTGCAGTCATTCCCTAACGAGCATGATGTCTAGACGTTGTTCTAAGTGTGCTCTTTTTGAAACTAGGTTTGTCTATTGCCAAAAACACAACTGTTCGATAGTGTTCTTATTAAGAGCTAATAATTGGAAACAAGTAAATAGCAGCTAAATTTCTAGATCAACACCAAACTCTCTATTTTTGAGCCACACCAGTTGATATAAAGTTTAAGCTCATACAATGTTTCCAGTCTTTCAGTTGAATAGCAGAATGGGTGGATGTAAATGTCATCATTTTGGCAATCAATCAAACTATTAAGGTCTGCTTAAAAGGGCAAACTTTTTCTGTTATGCTGAATGGGGTGGTGATCTATTCTAGTGTGTGTGTATGGGGGGGTACAGGGGTGATGGACAGACAAAGGTGTTCCTTAGAGTTTAAGAAAATAATAATTTTCTTCTTTCAAATCAGGGTGTGGTGTGCTTTTGTTCTCTTTATTGCAATGTAACCAAAGACGCAAAACTTTTTAAAACTGTATTTTTCTTTCCAGAATGTGATGTTGGCAGGGAAAATTGACAATGAAAGGGAAATAAGTTTGTCCCCTTCCCTCCCCCAAGACACATATTTATTTTGCAGTTGCAAGGTCACAAAAACAAACTATTGTGTCTAATCGTGACACAAGCTACCCATTCTAAAAGTAGCTGACAAGAAAGGATGAAAAATGCCTTGAGGATCCTAGTCATACTCTACATTTTTAAAATGGCAACTTGACACAAAACACTCAACAACGTATTGGCATAAGAGACAGAGATGTTAGAAACATTATTATAAAGTTTTTGTTTAAGACCTGTGAATTTGCAGACCTGTACAAAGAAAACTGATAAGAAAAACAGTTATTTCAAAAAAAATATATGAAAATTTACCATTTGTGATATTTGCCTTCAAATAATATAATCAAACTATGTGAAATACAAAAAAGAAGTCAATATCTTGAAATATTGAATAGAAACATAAGACAAGATGAGAGGATTACGGATGTAATGAATAAATATTGAGGGCATCAAGCTATTCTGTGAGGGCATCAAGCTATTCTCCAAAGCACCAGAGAGCAGGACAAGAAACAATGGTTGGAAACTGATCAAAGGGAGAAGCAACCTGGAATTAAGGAGAAACTTCCTAACAGTGAGGACAATTAACCAGTGGAACAACTTGCCTTCAGAAATTGTGGGCACTCCATCACTGGAGGTTTTTAAGAAGAGACTGGACAGTCACTTGTCTGAGATGATATGCTCGAGCAGAGGCCTGGACTAGAAGACCTCCAAGGTCCCTTCCAGCTTCTATTCTATTCTATTCTATTCTATTCTATTCTATTCTATTCTATTCTATTCTATTCTATTCTATTCTATTCTATTCTAAAAGGGAATTGTAAGTTAAGAGCTTTTACAGTTGATTTGGTGTTGGTTCTGAAAGATTATTTAAAGGGAAATGAAATATTAATGGGTAAATTAAAATGATTTGGTTCACTATCAGGTTTTAAGACTGATAAATAGAAGACAAAGATGTTAACAAAAATATGAAACAAAACTGATGAATAAAATGGCTTTTCAGATTGAAAAAAGTAGACTATTCGGTTTTATCGTTACAAATATAAACTATGTTATTTCAAAATAATTATGTTAAGACATGAAATGGTAAGTTAACATAAATGGTTAACTTATCATGATAAACTAGATTTTTTAAAGTTAAAAAAAAGGTAAAGGAGTTCTTGTGGATTTTACTCTGCTAGTCGTTGCCGACTATAGGGGGGCAGTGCTTATCTCCATTTCAAGGTCATTGAGCCAGCTCTGTCCGAAGACATCTTCGCAGTCCTATGGCAAGCATGATGTCACAGAGTGCTGTTACTTTCCCACCCAAGTGGCACCTATTTATCTACTTGCATTTGTATTATTTTGACCTGCTAGGTTCACAGGAGCTGGGGTGAGGAGGGGAGCTCACCCTGTTGCATGTAGCTTGGGTCTCTAACCTGGGCTGTCAGCTTTCTTGTTGAAAAGTCCAGCATCTTAACCACTGAGATACCCCCCCCCTTTTTTTAAAGATTTAAAGATTATTTTTAAAGGGGGAATATAAAATTAAGAAATTATATGATAATGGAAGGATATACTTGTTAATACTTTCCTTATGTACAAATATCAGAAAGGTTTAAAGTAGCTAAAAGATTTAATGGTTTTGAACAATGTAAAACTGAGCTTGAAACAGAATTATGTACAAATGATGGACGTATTATTGCCAAAATGCATAAATTTTTCTTGAAATTTGAAACAGAAGAACAAGTGAAAGATTGCATAATATGGGCTAAATATTGGGTTACAATATATTTTACAAATAGAACAATGCAAAAATATTTGGTTGATGGGACTGAGATTTACATTATAAATAAATATAATTTTCATAAAATGATGTACTGTTGGTATATGTCAACAGAGAAATTGTCTAGAATGTATAAAGATGCTTTACATTTATACTGGAAATGAACAACTGAACAACATGAAGGGACATTTATCATGTTTGACAGATGTGTAAAAAAGTCAGAACATTTTGGATACACTTACATTCACTAATTCAGAAGATTTTAAAGACTAGCATGTAATTGAAACCAGAAGCTTTTCTTTTGGGACTAATAGACAGACAGCTCAAAAAATGTCATGGGCTTAGCTTTTATATATGAAAACTACTGCAGAATTATTAGATTCTCAAAACTGAAAAGGTTTGGCATTGGAGGAATGGTTAGTGAAGAAGATGGAATTTGCAAAGATGGCTGAGATGACTTCTGTGACTAAACAAAAGACAATATCTCAATTTATTGTTGAATGGAGACCTTTTATAGATTTTTTTGCATGAAACAAAAAAAATGAACTCATGATTTGTAGATCTGATGATTAGGAGTAAAATTTAGATTATGAAAAAAGAGCTTTTCTTTTGTAACCGTAGAGTAATTCTATTTCCTGCAAAGAATACTGAAAGCTTTTTTCTATTTCTTTTTATTTTTCCATTTTTCATTTTTTGTCTTTTCCTTTCTTCTTTTTCTTTACTACTACTACTACTACTACTACTACTACTACTACTACTACTACTACTACTACTACTACTACAGTTGGAAGAGGTCTTCTAGTCCAACCCCCTGCTCAGGCAAGAAACCCTATATCATTTCAGAGAAATGGTTGTCCAGTCTCTTCTTAAAAACTTCCAGTGTTGGAGCATTCACAACTTCTGGAGGCAGGTTTCTCCTTAGTTCTAGATTGCTTCTCTCTTTGATTAGTTTCCATCCATTGCTTTTTGTCCTGCCTTTGGGTGCTTTGGAGAATAGCTTGACTCCATCGTCTTTGTATGGCAACCCCTGAGATATTGGAACACTGGTATCATGTCACCCCTTGTCTTTCTCTTCATTAAACTAGACATACCAATTCCAGCAACTGTTCTTTATACAGTATGTTTTCGCCTCCAGTCCCCTAATCATTTTTGTTGCTCTTCTCTGTACTCTTTCTAGAGTCTCAACATCTTTTTTTACATCTTTTTAATATTAGTTTTTGTTAATTTTTAATCTTTAGGGACTACTTGAGCTTCAAATATTCTCTTCTATCAATATTCAGTTTTCTTATATTTATTTAACCAAACTCACTGCTATTGCAATTATTATCAGGGGAACATGCTGTAAGAACTCTGTTCTATGGGTTTTCATTGCAATCCTAAGTATATTTTTTTCAGAAGTAAATCTTACTGAAATCAATGAAGCATATTTCCTAGTGACTATTGGTTCCTGGATAAATAGCAAAACTCCTGCATCTAAGTGGGAGTTGATAGTCTAAAATGTCAGCTGAACGTTTTTCTCAAGTATAGAACATATATTTGAGCTATAGAGGTGATTAATAGAGATTATCCAATGCCTAAACAAACAACTCTAACAAAATATTCTCTCTTCTCATCCAAAACGTAGAGTAAGCATCATAATTTTTACAATTGCTTTGCCCTATTACATGGCTCATTTCAACATTATTTTTCTGAATCAATGATAATCACCACCTTGGTTTTTCCTCTTCCCTCCATAAAGTATTTCAAGCAAAGTATTCTCTTGGACAAATTCCTGGCAAGTTGTCTCTCCAACAATTCTTACAGATGCAGAATTCCAGATTTTTGGCATACGTGGAGGGTCATCCTTTCCCCCCTATCCTGAGACAGATTTCATTGCAATGCCTCAGTAAGCTCTTTTTCATGACAAGCTGTCCCTCACCGAATTTACCTCAGTCTCCTCACTGCTTCTTCTGTCTCCTAAATTATTACTAAGTAAGATGGCAATTAGCTTTCAACAATTAAAATGATTAACTTACCGTATGTAACAGCTGGAGCATTTCCACATACCTGTGAAAAAGAGATGCAATTTTACTAAATGGCCAACCAGCTAGAGCTGAATGAATCAAAGTGGAATGCACTACATAGTTTCTAAGAATTTTTAAAAGCTGATAGACTCACACTTTTTCTGACGACACAAGCTCCTGGGCGACAAGTTGAGCTCTGGATTGCCCTTCTTTCTGTTAAAAGCAAAACAAAGGAGGGTAAAGGTCTGCAAACAGTTTGGATTCTTATAGTATTATTAATATTAGTTGTCTCATATAATATAGATTTTAGGTGGTATAAAGGTATAAAACCAAAATACAACACAATATAATTTACTGCCTTGAATTCTAACATGTTCTGCTGAGATCTTTTCCAGGGCCACTCATCAAAGAAAGTAAGGTTTATGGTGGCCTAAGAAAAGCAGTCTTTTCTGGGGGCACCACATCCATGCAATGACTTCTTCAGAGAGGGTCTCCTACCACCTTTGGTCTCATTTTTTTTTAACCTGATAGAGACAGAGCTCCTGAAAGCATCTGCTAACTATTCCCCATGGCCATGAAAGTAAGGGAAACGGAGATCTTTTTTTTTTTATTGTAGCACCAGCATTATAAGCCCTTACCTTATTAGGTTTTAGAAAATTATTCAAAACAAAATTATTTAAGAGAGACTTTGATTATTAATTGATCCCAATTCTTTTTTCTTTTTTAGTTTTTGTTTAGTTGCTGCAAGGATTTTTATTTGATTTTTTAAAACCTTATATTTTTTCTAATTGCTTAGTTATTATTTTTTTTAAATCATGGAGGTTTTAACAGCATGACTATAATCTGCTAACCTGGGGGCATCCGTGGAATGGGAATAAAAAAGCTAAGGTGGTGGGTGCAGGAAGGTGTTAAAAGGGGGGAGGCCTTAGATTTGTAGCCATACCTAATATCTTGGGGGGAGGGGGTTTCTTCCCTTTTCTGGACCCTCCCACTGACCATATTTATGACTCATATTTATGATGGTTGCAGTGTCCCAGGGTCATATAATCATCTTTTGTGACCTTCTGACAAACAAAGACAATAAGGAAGCCAGATTCACTTAACAACCGTGTTATTAACTTAGCAACTGCAGTGATTCACTTAACAGCTGTCACAAGAAAGATTGTAAAAATTCACGTAACAACTGTATCGTTTAGCAACAGAAACTTTGGGTTCCATTGTGATAATAAAGTCGAGGACTACCTGTATTCCCATGTAATGCTTGAGTATATAATGTGAAACTAAGCAACCATTTATTTAAGTCACTAAAGGTTTATATTTGGGTTATCCTTTGTTTTGCCCTGTCCTCTACCTTTGTAGAATAAGATGATCTTTCCCATCAACAGTAAAAAAAAAACCTTTCTGTGCTAATACTTCTTTACCTTGATGATTTCATCCTCTTTGCCCTTGCTGAACTCTACTGAGAGGAGGCCAGTGAAAAGCACACATACTTAGTTATGTTTCAGAGCTTATATAAGCTAGTCAGAAAACCCCATGGGATGAAACATCAATGCAGACTTAATCAAGAGAGTGCTGCATATTTGCTTGCTTTGAAAGGATCTGTTTACCCTCATCTCTTTGGGGGTTCCCTTTGAGGGATGTAAGATCTACTTTGGTGTTACTGTATTCCTGAATATTCTTTGATAGCGATCACATATTATGTTATTTTCTTATACTGCCCTGGTATAAAGCCTTAAGGGTTTGTACAAGTAAGATCATTGCTTCCAAATCAAGGCTATCTCAGTTTTAGTGGGTAAAAAAAAACAAATAAAGAAAAAAATGTAGACCTTTTTGTTCTCTTTGGTATTGGGGAAAAAAAAGGATTTTAGAATTTCACTTTCTTTTATTCCCAGTTTTATTATTATGATTTTGTGCTCTATCTGTTGCTTTTTTTACTCATGTTGTTTGTATCTCCTTAGTGTGTGAGATAAAATGTTTTTAATTGCTTCTTTAGTTTCTTTATAGGATTTCCCAGGAAAATTAAAATTCTATGCAATAGAAAGAATATGAACAGCGAACCATCTTATAACGAGAAAAGGAAATGCTGCTGATATTAAAAGATTGGAAAAGAAAAAGAAATAAAATTTTACTTAATGTCAAAACAGTGATGATGTGACCACCAAACAATCCTCTCTTGAATGAGAGGAGGGCATTGAAAACCTGAGGAAAATTGCTCTTCTTTTTCATAGTCACCAATTATATGTCAATTTGAGGGGAAACTAAAAGTATAAAGTCGCCTTTGATGAGATGGGTGCCTGTATAAATTGGATTATTTAAATAAATCAACCTTCAGTGGTATGAAGGTTGGAAAGACACATGCTCGGTATTACAAGACAAGATAAAAAGACCCACACATGGATTAGAGAACAAACGAAAGTATATAATATCATCAAGAGAGTAAAAAAATCGAAATGGAAATGGGCTGGTCACATAGCAAGAAGAACTGATGGCAGGTGGACTAAGGCAGTCAAAGAATGGATCCCACTTGATAAAAAGCATCTACGAAAGAGACCAAAGACAAGATGACTCTACGACATTAGCAAGTATTGAGGGCCCAATTGGCAAAAGAAAGCTCAGGACCATACAGTATAGGTTGGAAATATGTGGAAGAGCCCTTCATCCTACAGTGGATAGACAATGGCTAAAATGATGATGATGATGATGATTTTTCTTTAGGTTTTGGCATTTCAAACCATTGAGTGCTTTACTGATCAGACACAATCCATTTCAGAAACAAATCAGAAGACAGTGAAGGCAAGTAGTCTAGTATATTAACAGAGCTTCTTTCGAATTGAATTACCATCTCAGTATTATTCATTAACTGAAGATTCACGTCACTATCAAACACAGTTCTTTTTATTTAAATTATTAAGCCTAACCTTAAACTTTAGATATTTTCTTGCAAATCATTGTAAAGCTATTGTTGTGTCATACTTTTGCAATCTGTCAGCTTACAGAATGTAAAAGATTTGTCAGTTATTTTTTTGCTGTTATCATATGAAAATTAGATATTCATCTGTTTTCCTATACTTATGAGTAAGTATAAATAATAAAGGACCAATAAACGATCATAGCACTTTTTGTTTTTATCTTTCAAAGAACGTTAAGAATTAATTTCTAAAGATCAAACTGTAGTCATAGCACTGAAAATCTCCACATTGAAAAACTTACAAATAAACTAGTAAAACAATACAGTTAATTTAAATGCACCAGTTACTATAAGTGATCCAGTTACTTTTCTGTAAGAAGGAGAAAACAAAAGTAAATCTGTCTGAACAATTGTACATTTTTATATACAATCCTGTGGTCCCTGATAAGCCATAAAATACATATTCTGATAAATGTCTTAAAGATTTTAAACAAACCATTGTTTATATTATATTTTACTATGGCATTTAATTATTAAGCAATGGAAGTGAAAAAGAATTTTACCAGAGATAAATGAAAAGAAAAAATATATTTATTTTGACTTCTTAAAATCTGAAGAATCACAATTAAATGTTAGCATTCATTGAGTTTTTGACAATATATATTAGTAGAATTTGCATGAAGAAAATGGGGCTTCAATTACTCACAATAATTTTGCTTTTTGTGATCGCTTACGAAATCTAATTTAATTTTCCCATGATCCTGAATAAGAAAAAGTTGTCAGTGCCTACCATATGGTGTCAGGAATCATGTATTAAATAAAAAATAAACAGAGCCTCTGAAACATTTCAATAGGACTAACCTATTATTATGGTTTAAATCTTTCCAAATCAGAATGTATATACACACAGATAACATACACATATACATGGGCACAGAGGAAGTTCATTAGCTGAACCATGAGATGCAAGAGGTAGCAACACTGGCCACTCTGCACGTCCTCTACTGATGGGCTTGGCCTACAGCTGCCAAGAAGTGAAGCATATTTCACGCTGCCTGAGGTTCACTCTCTTTTCTTGTATACACTTTGTCACAGTTAGTAATTCTATTAGTGATTAATTTGTCTTCAGGCAAAAGTCAAAACACTGGGACCCCTGAACCACGTGGCCTGTCTAGGGAGTTCTGAGACAGTGTCTCTAGGCGTTGCCCGTCTTATGTTGTTTAATGGCTGTTTGTTTAACCAGGAAATGAACTCTGGGAATGACGACAGTGTCCAGAGACAGTTTTCTGGGAAAAGAGAGATGTAGGTGGTACAGACTCTTCAACTATCAAGGTCCTAATGCTGAACCTGCCACTTATTTTAATAATAGCTGCTGCCAGATACTTTTTAGCCCAGTAGCAAATGTTTTGCATTCTTCCTTCTCAGATTCACTTTGTGGTAGCAAGAGAGAGTTAGCACAATTAGGATGAAGGATATTTTTTCCTAATGTCTAAATCACAAACACTCTCTAATACGCGAAACAAGCAAACACAGATAGTCCTTGATTTACAACAGTTCATTTAGTAACCGCTCAAAGTTACAACAGCACTGAAAAAAGTGACTTATGACTGTTTTTCACAATTACAACTTTTGCAACATCCCCATGGTCATGTGATCAAGATTCAGATGCTTGGTAACCGACTCACATTTATGACAGTTGAGGGTATGTAATCACCTTTTGTGGCCTTCTGACAAGCAAAATCAATAGGGAAGCCAGATTCACCTAACAACTGTGTTACTAATTTAACAACTTCAGTGATTCACTTAACAACTGTGGGAAGAAAGATCGTAAAATGGGACTAAATTCACTTAACAACTGGCTCCATTGTGATCATAAGTCAAAAACTATCTGTAAAATTATTCAAAATGTGGTAAATTGCAACAATTATATTAAAAGATGTAAACATATAATTAAAAACTCAAGAGACTAGAGGCCTGTAATTCATTAAACATCAGTTCTCAGTATTAGAAAAGATACCCTATCAAAATACTTGATTTATCAGAGAAAAGATTTATTGGAGGAAAGAAAGACTATTAAAAAACCCAATTTCATCCACATGCATATCACAACTACAAACCACAGGAAATGCCATAAGGACAATGGTTACCAAATTATTGAAGAGAACTGAGATAAAGTGTTGTATATCTTCTTATCAGTTTAGTATTTTAGTTTTAAAATAACCTCCCTAAACTCAGGCCCAAAAATTCATATGGTGAATAGAAAGGCAGCATTCACAATATTGCAGCCCAACTGCCCGTTTAGATG